GAAATATTCTACGCCGGCTCCTGGTGGATCATTTGCCTTCAATGCATCTCTGTCTAAAACACGCTTGTATACAGCTGCTTCTCCTTCTAATCTGTTTCTCAATGCTGGTCCTCTTTTCTCATCTTCCAGCTCGGTGATATCACACCAATCGTCTATGGCATCCTCATAGGAAAACCATGAAGTCTTTCCATCATAAGATGGGGGCACCTTTGTAGTGACCTGTGTTGTCATTGCTATTGCTGCTGGTTCTCTTCTCACATGCCTATTCACATAGGCTGCTGGCTCATAAGCCACATCCGCATCAGGCTCTTCCCAGTCGTCAATCCAATCCATGGCCGTTTGCCCACAAGCAATTCTATGCCTAGGAAAGGAGCTCACCTGGGTCTTCCAGGATCACTGCTCCGCTACCACTGAAAGAGTGACTAGGGCGTACACGGTAGAGGTGCAGACCGCTAGTGTCTTTTATGCGCAGAGTCTTATCCTCTTGCTCTTTGAGCCTTGAAGCAGTCAAGCATGGACACACTATATCAGCTGTTGGGGTGGAACCCTGTACAGGTAGGCTCTACTTTTCAGGGGGGGGGGTTAGCTTGATATATCAATCTTTAAGGCACGCAGCCCCTCCCACCACAACATTGCTAAAGCAAAGAAGAACTCAGCTAGCATGCTAGCTTTCGTGACTAGGCCTCAATGCTGTGAATTAAAGGCACACGCACATGTAAAAGTATATGCGTAAACACGCAGACTCAATGTTAATCACTAGCAATGTTCAGCCAGTGGCGAGGGGGTTAGGGCATGCCATTTCATAGAAATAAGGTGTGGGGATTGCCAAGTGTTAGAGAAAAGGCGGCCTATAGGCTTCCCAAATCCTACCAAGTCCCAATGCTATGAAATTATTGATCCAAAGGGCAACCCAGAAGTAAAACTACTAAAATACACCAAATGTGCTTCCCAACACTCATACTTCTCATTCAATACCGGAGGCTCCATCTTGCCATTTTGGCAGGACATCTTCTGACATTGTATGGACCCGGTAATCGGCAATCCGGCAGGAGCGTTCATCTTGATCAAGTTAATAATCAAACCGCTACGAATCAGATGAGTGCAGTTCACATCAACGAACAAAAAGTTGGGAAAAAACAACTTGTACACGCACTGCAACAAGCCCGTTTTCCCGATAAAATGGGAAGGCCCACCCCTCCTATTCTCCTACCCCCTGGTATTTAAAAATGATTTTATAGGAGTTGACCCCTCCCATTCTATAAGCCAAAAGGTAATCAGGATCATGATACCACAAATCACCCCTCTCACCAGCGACACGCCGCGTTTACACCAGCATGTTTCGCGCTCCCCAGTGGCACGGCGCCACGCAAACGCACTTTCCACCAAGGCCGCGCAAATCCCAATGGCACTGCAACATCACAAACGTCGTGTCGCCACACGGTCTGCCCATACACTACAAGCAAACATGCCACATGATACCACAAATCATCCCGCTCACCAGCGACACGCCGCGTTCACACCAGCCTGTTTCGCACTCCCCAGTGCCGTGCCGCGCAAATGCACTTTCCACCAAGTCCGCGCAAATCCCAATGGCACTGCGACATCACGAACGTCGCGTCGCCACGCGGTCTGCCCACACACTAGAAGCAAACATATCTCTCCCACCAAGGCCGCGCAAATCCCAATGGCACTGCAACATCACGAACGTAACTTCGCCACACGGTCTGCCCATACACTAGAAGCAAACATATCACATGAGACCGCCAATCATCCCGCTCACCAGCGACACGACACGCCGCATTTACACCAGCATGTTTTGCGCTCCTATTGGCGCGGCGCCATGCAAACACACTTCCCACCAAGGCCGCGCAAATCCCAATGGCACTGCAACATCACGAACGTAATTTGGCCACACGTTCTGCCCATACACTACAAGTCACGCGAGCGTTTCGTACGAGACTTCCTCCAAAAGTCACGCTTCGAGGCTGCAAGACAAGCGTTTCGTACGAGACTTTCTCCAAAAGTCACGCGTCAAGTCTCCAAACGATCGTTTCGTACGAGACTTCCTCCAAGCCCAAGCTTTTCGTACGAGACGTCCTCAAAAAGTCACACGTCAAGTCTCCAAAACGAGCGCTTCGTACGAGACTTCCTCAAAAACTCACATGTCAAAGTTTGCAAAACGAGCTTTTCGTACGAGACTCAGACTTCCTCCAAGGGTCAAGCGGAAACACCCATCGGAGCACACACATCACGCAGCCCTGCCAAGCAGTTTCGCGATTCCAGCCCCTCCAAACAACACGCCAATCCCAATGTCACAGCGACATTCACCTCTACCACAACTCACAACCTCGCAATTCCCTGCGCCTGCCACAAACCTTTCCGCGTCCACACGTCTAACGCGCGCAAAGTACTGCGCCTGCCACGAAATGTCACCTCCGTCACACCTCGCAACCTCACGATTCCCTGCGCCTGCCACGAAAATCGCACTTCCACACCTCAAAACCCGCACAAAGTACTGCGCCTGCCAAGAAAAGTGATAATATCATCTCATGTGAGCTTCAACAAAATTTGCACCACACCACACGTTTGGGATGATTTCGACCCGTTCTGAGCACACTCCCATCCACCAAAGTCACCATTTCAGCTGAGACTTGTCACGAAAACAGAGCTTCGATGCCACACCCTAAAACGCAAACCCCGAAGGCACGGCCACATCCAACACCCCAAAAAATACGACTCTCCAAACGCTAATCCGCTATTCCCAATGAAACTGCGCAGCAAACTGCGCATCTCACAAAACGCTGCGCCTGCGCAGTGAAATCATCCTCCACACTTCAACATCTTACATTTCCACACTATCCCTCGCTGTTTCACACGAATCTGACACGTCGCGTTTTCATCCGAAACCCTCTCCAAAAGCTTCCCCCAACGGCAGCGCCTTAGCGCTCTACTGCGGAGGGTTGCGAACGGTTGCGGACGGGACGGTTGCGAACTTAGAAACAACGGGTCGCGAACAAGGCTCTACCCCCCGACCCCCAGTTAAACGACAACCCTTCGCTACGCATTCGGGAAAAGTTCTTTGAGGCCCAAGACCATGTCTTCAGTAATAGAGATAGCAAACGCCAACTTTATTTGTGATCCACTGCACGCACTGCCCTTTGCAGCACCACATACGCAGAACACTTCGTGACTTCGTGTGGTACTCTGTCGTATTTACTGTAATGCTCTGCGATGCGATGATGTGTGGACCCATTGCTTCCAATATTTTGTAAGCACTGTCAGCCAGGGCAATTCTTTCAACTGTGCTCAAAAAGAAGCCATTGTAAGTCGGTGCAAGGCCATTCTCAAGCACAGTCTTCTGCAGATTCTGCAGTACAAAGTGGGGCACTTTTCTCTGCATATGCGCATGTTAGATTGTGCTGTGTGGTGCGCATACTGCAAATTCGTTTGAATGTCTAATATGTCTTGCGCTTGCACGCATTCTGGGTAGTGCGCTGCATGCACTATGGCATTTTTGCGCGTTGACCGGATCCTGAAAAGTTGTGTGCCTTGATCGCTTCCATCCGAGGCAGAGATGAAAAGTTTAGCCAATCCTTTGAAGGTTCGATTCGGAACCTTCCCCAAAACTTGCCCTTGTGTAGAGAAGCGCGCTCTTTTGGCACACAAAAATGAAGCCTTCGTGATGCGGAAAGTACACTAAGTACTAGTACACCCAATGAGCTCATAGTGAGTCGGATGTGACATGTCTGTCTATGATGCACTGACTCTGTCACGCTGCCTTCCCGTTCACCATGCCTCCACACAGGTTTAAACGTTGGCCTTTTTGAACCATTCAGATTGAGATGCTGTGCGGTTAGCTCTCTCCGCAGGCTGACTGGAGCACAGCCTTTGCATGGTCACGCGTCCGATTTCGTTTGTATTGCATCTGACCTTAATTCCCAGTTCATGTCCATGGCACAAAGCATTGTTGTGGGTGGGGTTTCTCTTCCCCTTCTCGTCATTATGGCAAGGATATGGTCTACCCAGTGTACCCTTACTGCCAAAAAATTGCGACGGTCTATACGCATTCCAAAAACATGAGCTCTTCTCCAACATTCGGGCCCTTCCCACCGCCAGCAGAAGTCTGCGCCAAAGGCTGTAGGCATGGGCAGCACGAAGTTGGAATAGCTTTGTGCGCCCGAAGGAGCTTTGCGAGCTGCTGCGAAGCCCCCTTCGATCTTGTCCTGGCCCGCTCCTCCTGCACCACTAGCCCGGCTTCAGCCACGCTGTTGGGCCTCAATCATCTTGTGGCCGGGGCGCGCAGCAGTCCAGCTCGCACATTCCCGAACCTGCCAGCTATCAACCAGGATTGGCGTGCCATACGCGCTCAACACAGAAGACCACTGGGCGACTGAAGCTTCCGTGGCTGCCTGCTTGCTCAACTCATCCATATTGGCGCTATCGACAGTCGCCACCTAAAGCCCTCAAGGAGAATTGTCCAGCACCACGGCGTCAAGAGTGGTTGGAAGCTGACACTACAGACGTTCAAGGTCTGTTTTGCCAGTCTGTTGAATGAAAATGTCCGGGTGGGGCCTCTTGGTGTCAAATTGCATACACATGTCTTGCAATCTTGCAAATAAAAGTTTACTGCAAGTTTTATGCATCATTACAAAACACAAACCGTGGCTGATTATTGGGCCCTAAACCCACCCTCCATCGCACGCGCAAACAGCAATCAGCAAGCAACAATGCGGACAAGTGTGAAAATCAACAAAAGCACCAGGCAACCTGTAAAGTCGCCAGCAACTACTTGGTAGTGTTAGGACCAGGAGACCCCAAACAGTACCGAGTAGAACACGACAAGGGTGAGTAGGCCGACTTCCGCATGTGAGAACACACTTAGGGATAGCAATACACATTTTTTACTTGCATATATTGGCGTGTCTTAAATCGGCCCGGCGTTCAAAATTCCAAGAAAATTGGTGGAATTGAAAGACCACTGAAAATCCTAAGGTTGTGACTGAGCCAGACTGAATCTGCCTGACCTTGGACGCTGGTGGCGCACAGCCTTTGGGTTTGCCTAAAACTGACTGAGCAAAGCCTGAGACCTGAGGGCTCGGCCTGCTCAAGCCAAAAGGATTGCTGCTCCCGCAAGAACGCAGCAACCTTTGACATTCGACTTAGAGCTCTGTCCAGGGGATGTTCTAGTCGCGCAGAACAAAAGCACCATCACACACTCACCTCTCTGAAGCACGCTCAACATCCCTTTATTGCCCTTTGAAGAGGACTGTTACTTAAATCCTTGTACAATATGTTGCCGATGTAGTTCAACTGCAACTGTAGTGGCAGAAACATGAGACTGCACACCTCTTCCGCGCGCCCTATGGCATCCAAAATGTCCTGCCAAGTTTGTCAACTCAAACTCTCATCAGTGTCAAGGCCCAACCGACACCCTCATAAGCCCATTGTCTGGAAACGGAAAACTTGCACCAACCCGGCGAGCCAAAAGTCCTGCAATGGAGGAAGTTGCGAAGCACTAACGACCTGCTCAAAAGGAAACAACTGCAGCGGGCAAAAGGACACGCGCAATTGCAACGGTGGAAAACCAAATGTTTTCACCACTGCTTATATTGACCCAGTTGCAAATTCTCCATTTAACCAATTACTTCACTTCGAAAGGTCCCCATCATTACACTTCAGTCCACTTTGACATGACAGTAATATAGGCAGCGCTTTCTTCTATAGCAAGATGTTGCGTTGTGAAATATTGCGGTTTCATCTCATCTCATCACCCGTCAGGCGATGCTGTCAAACAGGAAACAAACAGGTCAGTTAGACTCCTGCAGCTGACATGAAAGAGCAATGCCAAAACATGCCAAATCACGCCGGCCTTCCAACTAGCGCTGAAGATGTTTGGTGTGTACGCTGGCATGGTTCTTTCACTTGGCGTGGACGTGATCTGGCAGGAGTACCAGCACCCAAGCTCCAAAGCTGCACACCCACGCACATATCTGGCACCAGCATCCTGCAGCAACACTCCGCAGCGGCACCAAGATCCAAGCTACAAAGGAGCGGCACCTTGCAGTAGCAGCACAAGCATCAGCACCAGCGCCCAAGCTTCGCAAAGCGCACACAGCCATGGACATCTGCACACCAGCGCCCAGGATAACAGCTAAAGCACACCTTGCAAGATACTAGTACTACTAGTATCCGCCCAGAGCGCCAGCGCCCGAACTCCAAACGAGCTCCCAAGCGCACACGGTCATAGACATCTGGCAAGCACACACCCCCTGCACATCTGGCAGCCTGCGGAACTGACACCCAGTCTCCAAGCGCACACAGGCACCTCTTCCTGTCTTCGAATAAAAAACAAATAGCAAATAGCTCTCGCTCTGATGAAAAAACTACAGAACCACCTACCCTTCCAAGAGTGTCTAGCAGGTCAACTCCCCACCAATGGCAAGACTGAAATTGGAAGAGAGAGAGAGAGAGATAGAGGGAGCATGCGCAGCTGTAAGTGTGTCAGCACCAACAACCCTCGCGCGCAAGTTGCACCCCCCAGTTCTGAGTTGCACGCCGAGGGAGGCGATGGCCTTGGCCCGACTTGCCTTCTCCCACTTCGCCCAATTCGCAATGGCCCAAATAATTCTGACTGTGCGACACAACTGGGTGGCAAGCCAAGATCCTGCAACATCTTCACTGACCTGCAACACACCACCAGTGAGCTACTTGGACCTCATTGGTTCACTAAAGGTGATCCTGCCTGCAAGGCACAAAGGCATGTGTGACACCATAAACACCATGAAAGATACTATTTCAATTTATTTCAGCACAAAATGCACAAATCGAAGTAAATGGACAAACATGAAAACAGTTGAGGAAATTGCTCACAATCAGGTCGCCTGCCCATTGACCCTTGCAGTTGCTGTCGCCTCTGCGGCAAAGCCAAAAACTTAAAACTTCCCTGAACAACTCACTTCATGTCTTTGGTGGGCTAAGGCCTAGGCTACTTGGGCCTCACCATTGACGCGGCGTCAAATTTACCATTGTACACTTCGTCTTTGGGCCTCACCTTTTGCGTCGATTGAGCCGGCCTTTGAAGGAAATACAAAATGGAAAACTGCTTTGACATTGCAGGCGCCAAGAACCGTTGCAATCTTTCTGGGCCCAAGACACGCTGGCCACCTGGGCTCAAGGTGGCGCCGAATGAATGCTCTGCGCCCAAACATCTTGCCCGTAGGAACATGACCCTGCGATAGGTAAGCTACAGTTGGAGGTGAGCAGCCCAAAAAACTTGATCATTTTGGAGGGCGCAACTGAGTCTGAACGCAGTTGCCTTGCAGGCAGTGAGCTAAAGTGTGGCTGACCTATTTATCTTGATTGGAATCTTTTGCGCAAAGGCGAAGTTGGTTCATCCCTCCTTCGCAGCTGCTCTCATAGCAAAGGCAACATTGCCCATCGAGAGTATGACTGTTTATCCACCACGCGCACCGGGATCGCACGGGAAACGCACCCGGCGTTGTACCAGGCACCCTGACCTGTGCACAAAAGTGAAACCCAAGTGAAAAATGCAAAGAGACCAAACGCAGCGCAATCCTCCACGAATCCAAAGTTCGACCCGCACCAGCTGCAAAAACACGGCTCAAGTGAAGTAAGCAGTCGTTGCTCAGATGAACAAGGCCACCCTTGATGGACCCTTGTGGCATTGTTCGAGCCGCAGCTTTAGCAAGAGCTGGCGAGAGCTTCCTGGAAAGATCTGACCCTCCGGGAGTTTTGAAAGCAACGTATACGCAAGGCGCAATCTCTTACGGTAATCAAAGTATGCGGCAAGCTCGGGGCCCCCATCAAAACAACGATTCGGGTGACAAAAAAGCACCGTCAGCTCACAAATGTTGCATCCGCAATCCAACGCAACCCACGCAAAAAACTGCACACTTCGCCCCATTCACGATCAGATCCAGGCCAACGCGCTGGCTTAGGGAGACCAAAAGGAACTTTGAGCTTCCAACCATAAAGGGACAAGCTCCGGTTCCAAGGCCACTGAAGGGATTTTTGCCGACACTGTTCTAGGGCTCTAGGGATAGATCCTCCTCTGTATCATCGTCTTCAGCGACCTGGTTTTCATTGTTTGTCGGCAGCAGTTCACGCAGCTGCGATAGCCACATGGCACAAGCTACACTGATCCGCCTCACGTTGAACGCGCGGGGAGACCGGAGAGATGGCACCGGAGAGATGGCTGCAGCAAATTCCTTGGCGGAGAGGTCTGCCAGTCGGTTCCTGGCCATGTGGCAAACTGTTGCGCAGCGGCTTCTCGCCATCTCTTCAGTGCAATGCGCAGGGATCTTGCGCCAGGTTCGACAGGCGTTGCCACCATTCTCGACAAAGCCATGTAGAATCAACGATCCCAGACTGAAAGAGTTGCTGAGCATGATCCGCAACACTCTCGCAATCGCAAAAATGTGAACACGATACGGAGTCAAGACGCATGTTTGAAGCAAACCCCCCAAAGTTCAGCCATGTAGGAGTTGACGCAAAGATGGTTCACCATGCCCGCGGCGCATAGTTGCAAACCGTCATTGACGACGGCATAAGTTGCCGTGGTAATCCAGAATCTGTCATTCCACATGCCCGAACCGTCGGTCCACAGGTCAATGCAACGTGCAGGCGAGGAATTGAAAACAAGAGACGGCGCTTTGCAAGAAACCCAGGTTGCTCAATGATGCCCAGCAGGTCAAGTCAAGGTTGTGTTCTCACAGAACCTACATTGGCTTCTGGCAGGTCGCTTGATCTTTTTGTCCCGATGTTGGATGTGGTTCAAGCGAATCGGGGCATCGAGCAAAGATGCTGCAGACTCAGCCCAACGTCTTGCAAGAAAGACTTCAGCAGTGTAGGTTGTTGGGGGCGTTGCCAAACGACCGGGGCATTATGCGCATGGAGGCCTTATTAGCATAAAAGGCAGTTCGCCTTGTAATGAACAGGTCTTGCCACCCATTGCCCTTGTGTTGTTTGGGCACAAAAACCTTTTGGGAATGAAGGTCGGCTCATTGCCACGCGTTTTGCGCCCCTCTGTGGACACGGGAACGTATGAGAAAAGCATTGATGACAGACCGTTTCCCTTCACTGTCAGGACAAGAATGGAACTCACAAAACTCAGGCCAACAGGAGGGTTCCTCGGTATCATTTGGCAATCTCCAAAGTGGAGAGATCAAAAGGCGCACACTGACCTATCGGAAAGCAAGTTCCATAGGCCTGCGCTGTTTTCCCAGAAGAGGGACAACTTCAGCGGAATCAAGTTTAAAAAAAGGCAGCCCGGTTGAGAAGAACTGCATCCATTGACGATGTGGCATCGTCCCCCCTAGAAGAGAATGATTCATCACGTGAAAAAGCAAAAGGCCGAGTGGAAAACCCATTCTCGTCGACACTGGCAACAAGGTCACGCCAATTCAGGAAGTTGTTGGCTAACTAGCAGGGTCTGCCTGGAGGTCACCTGCATTTGACCGAATTGCGCCATAAAATCACACAAAACAACAAACATGGCATCATTCTTACAATGTATACGAGGCTCCCGCAACAGCATATACCGAAACAATAAGTGCACGGCGCTTGGGGGTGACCCGGACCCCAGCAGCATTGACCAACGCGAGTTTCCTGCAAACAGCAAACAAACATCAGCGCCCCATCAGTAGCTGGATCAGCGGGACATAGATGCCCCGCTGGTGAACTGGCAAGGAGGCAATGAAAGTGAAGTCACTGCCTCATCGGTAGCAATTGAAGTGGAGCCAGTGGTTGTTGTGAACGATGAGCCAAATCACATGGTTGTACGTGTGGTGAGACCGTGTGGTGTGATTCCAGATTAGTCAAAGGACACTTGCTGAAGCATGCCCATCGATCCTTTGTAAAGGTGTCATTTTCTTTTGCTTTGAAGCCCATTGCGGCCCAACTCTCCCCCGTAGTCCAAGGAAAAGAGTCCGCCGTTTTGCGTTTGCAGTTCATGGGTACGCATCGCTCCCTACCACTTAAGTGGTAGCGGAGCTCTGAGGAGCTTCCGTGCAGAGCGCTCGATCCAGGTCACGTATGGTGGGGAGATCCAGTTCGATGCCAGTGAGTCCTCCGCCGCCGAGACGGAGGAAGAAGGTGGGCTTCGCAGACTCCGAGGAGTCTGCACAGCAGCAACCTCAGCGAGCAGCGGATCGTGGGCTTGCTTCGACTGATGATAGCGCTGTGGCTGCTGCTTGGGGGAGAGTGACTATGGGAGAGGCCGCAAGCCAGAGACCTGGCCGGTCCACTGCTAGCGGTAACAGTTCTTCGTATGAGATAGTGGAGGGGCCACTATCACCTGAGACACCATCTCCAGAACCTGACCGGTGGCCTCTACATGCTGAACGCGTTCAAGGGGACGTTGGTCGGGAAGGAGACGGGCATGATCGTTCATGGTCATGGGAATGGACCCGGGATGCTTCAGATTCCGGGAGACAACAAACATCGTCATGGTCTGATGATAGATGGGTGGGCCGTTGGTCGTCGTGGGGCCCTTGGGACACATGGGATTGGGACACATGGTCATGGGACACTTCTTCATCATGGCGTTCTTGGCGGGGATCCTCCAGGACACCGTGGACGGCAACAGTAGCAGCTGCTGGAGAAGTTGCGCAGACGCCCGCGCTTGATGGTGACACCGTGCCGCCGTCTGCAGGGCCGCCGCCCCAGCATGCTGGCACTGATGATCCAGTCGCCGCCTGGTGGCAAGCTGATGACAAGTTGGCGGAATCCTTCGACGCTGCCAACTGTCCTGATGGCGCCTGGGAACACTATCGGATGAATGCCAATAGTGAAGAAGAAGCGGTGCATGAAGAAGAAGGACAAGATGCTCATGCCAAGGTCCCAGACAAGGCACGACCCAGAATTCCATCATCGTATCCTGCTTCCTTTGCTGCACTGCCGACTGAATCCTACCGAGAATGGAAGCGAGCAGTCGAGATGTGGATTGCTGGCGAGGGTGGCTTGCTGCCATGCTCAGTGATTGGACCTCGGGTGCTGTCTGTGTTGAAAGGTCGTGCATCCATCTTGACGCGCAAGCTGTCGGTTGAGCGTGTCTCTCAGCCTGAAGGGTTGAGCCTGATTTTCCATACCCTTGAGTCATCTTCCTTGGTGCAAGAGCTGTCTGGCCAACGAGGAGAAAGAGCACAGCGGGAGTTCTTGCAATGTCGCAGGGCTCCTCATGAGAGCTTGGATTCCTTCCTGATGCGTGTTGAAGCTCAACGGGATTTGATGTTAGAGGAGGACCCAGAGTTTGCCATGGGAGAACGTTTCTTGGTTGGCTATGTGTTGGACAACTCCGAGCTGACTCAAAGGGATAGGGTGCTAGTGATGGCCGCTGCTGGCAACAAGCTTTCGACATCAGCAGTGTATCCTGCTCTTCGGCGCATGGGTCCTTTCTTGCAGGGGACTGTTCCCATTGGCCGTGGTTTGTCTGATCGACCCTTGTTGCCCGAGCTTCAACCTGATGCGCCTCAAGGGACAGGCTCGAACTCTCAGCCCCATGTGGGGCGTGGTGGTCGCTTTGGCCGGTCATATGGCACCCACCTCTTGGCTGAGGAGGAAGCGGAGGATGGCATGGACGACAGCCCAGAGACCTTGGAGGACACTGGAGAAGATGAAATCACTGGTGTCGAGCATGAGGCACTGGTTGCTGTACAACAAGGACAAGCACGCCTGAGAGCCATTCGCCAGGCCCGCGGCTACTATCGCCGCAATGAGCAGTCGACAGGCGGTGACTCGGCGGCAAAGAAGCGCTTGGAAGAGTTGATGGCCAAGAATCCCTGCCGCAACTGCGGCGGCTTCGGGCACTGGAGCCGCGATGCTGTGTGCCCAAAGAATCAGGCCAAGGCTGCTGCCTCGACCAATGTGGCAGCCACCTTAGCTCCTTCCGATAGTTCAACCAAGGTGTCAGCAGCCATGACGGCTTCGTCACAAGCTGCATCGATGGTAGCCCCCTCCCATGCTGCCTTAACGGCTGTTTTGGAGAGCTTCGTAGATCGACAACAGAAGTCTGCATCGCATGTCGCGAGCGCATACATGACGGCTGCTGCTGTTTTGGGGGAGGGGCCGGCTGCCGAAGTGATCGACCTAAATGTAGAGACATACATCGCTCAACCCACGAAGACACTTGACTATGAAGGGAGCAT